TTATTCATGAATAAGTAATATACCCCGATCTGATCTAATTTTCTTGAAGTATATGTAATCCCAGACAACAAAAATAACACCAACAGATTAGTGCTTATATTGTGCCCCATCCCTCAAAAGAGGAGGGCAAAGTCTTCTCAGTATGTGGCCAAACATTTTTTTTTTTTTTTTAAGAAGAGAAATGGAATAAAAGAAATTTCTTTAAGGAAAGAAATCTCTATTACTTGGGTTCTTGCAGCACTTAATTCAGGTGGTGATTTTAAACTAGATCTTATTTCTTTTTGTCCTCTCTATGCCCGGGTGAGTTTGCCAGCACAATGAGTTTAAGCAGATTTACAATGTTTTATAATAGAGTAAAAATCTCACACAGCTGAATGCCACTGCAGGCAGGCTTCCATCTTTAAGCATTGAGATCTGACATTCTGCCTGCCATGAAACATGGAAATAAGGATGATTTTCAGAATGCCTGTCCATCCAACATTCTGATGATAGGCTTTTGGGCACCTACAGTGCTGCAGCCTTAAGAAAACCTGAACACTAAGATGTGTAATGGTAAATTTATTTTAAAAAATTGCTTAGAAAGAAGGATAACTTTGGGGGAAAAAAAAGAGAGATTAGTCTGATGTATTAAATGAACTATGATTATTTACTGTCATTATTCATTCAGGTTATGAAGGCAGAATAGGAATGGCATGTATTCGATTGAAGGAAAACTGTGAATTTAATGGTGAAAATACTTACCGACATGTTCATGCTCATCTTCCAAACTACGCAAGACCTCGTTTTATAAGGATTAAGGTAAAAGAGTGGTCCTGAGTAGCTCTGTGCCTCTGTCCACATTCTTTTTTCTCTCGTTTCTGTGAGGACGATGCACTCCCAGATTGTGCAAGCAATTCTCTAATGGCTTCCTTTGACTCTCACTTGCTCTTGTCATTTACCGATATGAAAGTAGAACTGGACCCGGATGTTTTAATTTGTCCTGGAAAACAAAGCTGCATGAGGATTAACAGGATACAGGATATATTTTAACATATAAAAACAGGAAGACCTTTTAATGGAAAAAAAAAGTTGTATTTCCTGTTGCATTCCTTCAGCACGCTAACAGATTTATGTTTTCAGTTTACCACTTCTACAAATTGATCCATTCAAAATAAAGATCAGCTCACAAGTAACAGGTTGCAAAAGAATAGCCTCTTATAAACTGAATTGTGAAGTAATATTTAAGTTGAATTAAGAAAACATGAGAACTTCACTATAGCAATCCTTCTCAGGCTACTTATTTAAAATAAATATACCCCCTTTTACTTCCTTTCACTGAGATAATTCAAGAGAAGGATCAATACAGAGATACTAGCATCCCTAATTCCTTAATTGACCTCTAAACTTTTGAATTAATGCACAAACAAAGCAGCTGACTGGTCAAGCTAGCAGTTTGTCTTGCCATCTCAGGTAAAGTACACTGATAGTTGCCCAACCTCCAACTCTCTTTTTTGGCTGTTCGCTCTGAGAGAAAATTCTTCTTCCGTTTGATCTGAAGGACAAGGTACAGATATACATTAACAGCACTTACTGTCATCAAAGTCCTTCTGGTGCAGTCCAGTTCCCGTATCCCAAGTAGTTTTTCTTAGAACCTGACCACCAGTTTCTTGCAACACACTCTTGCAAGCTGCATTAATCAAGAACTATTACTCTTTAAGAAGATATTATTTTGTTAACTACCACAGTAGCTTTACTAAAAAAAGCTTTAACTGATAGATGTTAAGCGAAAACTTCTCTCTAGTTCATTAAATGAATTTAATTCATTAAGCAATTAATTGAATTGCTGGATCAAACCCATGAGCCTGAGTACAAGTAGAAAAGGGCACGCATCAAGTCTCTAGTGTTTCCATGCCTCATTTAAAGAGGGTAATGAGGAAAGCCTTTCAGTAATCCACTGCATGGACCCAGAGTTTCTTACATTCAGATTAGTTGCTGACCCACACACTCAATAGTTACCTATCACCAAGAATGCAGATAGTACTTTTATTAGTAAGACTTTAACTTCTGCACAGTATGGACTTATACATAACAATATTCATCATAGAGTACATAAGGTTCATCTTAAAGACTTAAAACATATATATTGTACCTGTTCTGTTTACCTGTAACTTCATATAGATGCTATCTAGAGAAAAGCTTAAGGCTGTTCTTTTCTGATTCTCTTTAAATGTGGAAAATTTAATTTGCCTTAATTATATGCTGCCATTTATAAGTAGAGACATAACTTTGCTTTGTAGAGTGCCATAGAACTCACAGCAACTTTCAAGTACCGCAAAGTACAACTAATGGAGGAAGGTTTCAACCCTGCAGTCATCAAAGATTGCTTGTATATCCTGGATGAAAAAGAAAATACATATGTACAAATGACCCAGGCCATTTATAATTCTGTAAAAAACCATCACTTCAGATTGTAAACATGTCCAAAAAAATACATGTTTTATAATCAGATGTTAAAGCATCAGTTATCCTAACACTGCTAGGAAATCTTATTTTTTAATACTAGCAAATATATGCATCTGAAATAATGTGTGATTATGTGATGATTTTAATAAAATAGAACTGCTCTGACTTCAGCCTGGATTTTCCTGTCTTTCTTAACCTTGTATTTTTTGTACCTACCATCTTTTTGTTCGCTTTCTCTTCGAAAAGCATCAGTTATCCTAACACTGCTAGGAAATCTTATTTTTTAATACTAGCAAATATATGCATCTGAAATAATGTGTGATTATGTGATGATTTTAATAAAATAGAACTGCTCTGACTTCAGCCTGGATTTTCCTGTCTTTCTTAACCTTGTATTTTTTGTACCTACCATCTTTTTGTTCGCTTTCTCTTCGAGTTTTATCTTTTCTAAGCTGCCCACTCTAACGAGGAGTGTTTCTATTACCCAGTGGATTGTCGCTGTGGCCTCCAACTCCCCTCTCTTCCCAGGACTAACCATGATTATTGAGGCATCTGTGACAGTTTTTCTGTCATAAGCGACTGTCACACATTCCTACTACAGCAAGTCTAGAAGCAGGTTTCCCCTTTCTGAATTGGGTGCTCAAGTAGGCTGTACTAGGATAATTCAAGATTAGTCAGATGGATACTTATACACACACAATTTCAGGCCAATCCCCCCTTTTTTAACACATTAATGTATTAAATTTAGGAAGTCTTGTAGCTGCAACTTAGAAGTCTTATAGCTGGAGGATAAGGCTTGCCTTAACCTCCATAATTGTAAGTAATTAATGTTCAAGCTTGCTCATAAACAGTTTAAAACGTATACTGGTTCCCATTTGTATTTGCAGAATTTCTGCTTATTCACTTTTGTGAAGAGAAGGCCACAATAGCATTAACTAGCCTGGATAACTAGAAAAGCACAGGCTCTTTCCCACAGTATGAGGATGTACTGTTAAAACTATGAATCTGGGGATCTTGGCATATGAAAATGATTACTATTCATTTTGAAGAAAATGAATACATTTTTATGTAAGGATATTTATATTCATGTTAGAAGGTGAGCCACAATAACTGCATTAGTAGAAGTTTTACATCTCTAGGCAAAACTGCCTGTTAATGAAGCTTGCAGTTACCTCAGATTAACTCACCCAAGAAAGTCTAGGTTAGATGTTCACATTAAGCTTTACCCATTGCAGCAGAGCTACCTTCTCATTTTAATTTTCATATACCGAATAATACATATATATGTCAAAGAAGAACAATTTGTAATAGCTTATAACTGTTTCCTTTGGAGTCTAAATAGGGTAATRGCAGGCAAGATACCTTCCTAATTAAGTAGGCTTTAAGTGTTTATGTAATTTTTAAAAATACAAATTATACAGCATAGTAKAAAATAAATATATACTTATGAGGAAAAGCTGGCAGGCCAGATACTGCTGCTGCTTGTAGCACATGCCTTGGTAAACCCTACTGTAGTTTTAGCTGATGTTGTGTAGCAGTGTGGAAATAGGAAATTGTTCTGATCAACCAGCCTCATATAATCCTTGCTTATATAACTTAAGAATAGAAATACTGGCCCAGCAACTTGCCTTAACAGGGCTTATTGTAGCTGTCTGGCACTTATTATGAAGAAGACAGCAAGCATCCAACAGTAGTTTCCCAGCAACGTTTATGTGTTCTGACACAATTGGGAGACTCTCTGAATTTTAAGCTTTCCTCAGTGACTTTTTTCTCCAATTAATATTTTGAATTATATTTGAAAAATATGTAAATTATTGCCCTCTTGTAGCAATGGGTTTGTTTGCAGCATGGAAATCTATCCCATTTGTCTGTCCTGCTTCCTGTTCATGTTCCTAGACCTGGTATGAGAAAGGTTGAAATCGTTCCTGTTCTCTTCCCCCGCTGCACTTGTGATTTAGAGGCCTGAGGTAATGCTGACGGATGCCTCAGGTGCTCAGCAATGGCAAATCTTCCTGGCACAAAGTTACACAAAGCCTCCCGTGCAGTTACTCATTAACACAGACAGGAGGGCAGGGCTGCTSTGGCTTTAAATTCACAGAGAATTTAGCACTGCCCGTGCATGGCAAAGCTCTTAGAAAGGCTACATCTTCCCTTTTGCAGTCTACAACTGATGTTGGCACCTAATATACCCACAGTTCCCTACAGCATTTTTAGGAAGCCTGAGTCAAGGTATCAGTGGTGCAAATGGTGAGCTAAATTGTTCACACCCTGTTAAGATCAGCATATTTTATTAAAATCACTCTAGCCTACCAATTGTAAATGTTCCATTAGTGTATTGCAAGAATGTTAAGGTAAAATTTTGCATTTTCTTTTCTACAGCCTACAAACCAGTTTCATATTACATGCTTACAAGATTTATTTGACATTKTAATCTATAAATACACAAGGTTTGCATCAGTAGGAGCACAGGAATTTCCTCAGCAGTTGCTGCCACTGTTTACACATTGCATATGAATAAGCAAACTTTGGTTCTTTTCTACCTGGRGAGGACTTAAGGACCAAACTCTTTCACTTATTAAACAATAGCTTGCAGAGGACAGCAAGGCAGATGAAGGCCACACTGAATGCTACACTCTGGGAAGCTTGGAACACTGTAAAACTTGATTAGTTTTTTGAAGGCACTTTTTTTGAGCATCATCACCTCCTCAGGCAGCCTAGAAAGGATTTTGGCATTTGTATGAGACTCTTTCTTGTCAGTGGATCCTGCCTTGGGGTTGCATTGCTCAGGAGCACCAGTCATTGGCACACTGTTGCAGCTAAGGGAACGTGCCGTCTTTTTCTTACCTTGAACAGATAAATAGCTGAATAAGAAGGAGCTTAACTTATGCTTGGTAGCCTGTTGGGCATCTTCTGGAAAACAGTCATCTGAAGGATCCCCTTGATCCTCCACTTGTTGGTTAATCACACATGAACTGGGACTTACTGCAAACTTCTTAGGCTGAACTACTATTTTTCTGGAAGGTGTTTTGTGTTCCCCTACATCTGGATAACACTGAGAAGCACTAGCAGTGGCATCAGAACTAGGCTTAACTATCACACTGGGGGTTCTTGCCCTGTCGCTGGAAGGGATGCAGTGCGACACGTAACAGCAGCGAACGATTCGGGCTGCAGTTTGTTGAATGATGTTCCAGTCTCGCAGAATATCCTCCCTGGTGGTGAACTGAGATGTTACTGTAAAACGAATGATGAACTTGTCATGAATGGTTGCTGGAATAAGGAAAAGCCTGCCAGAACTGCTCAGTTCTTTGAGGAGCTCTTCTGTCAGCCAGTTGGGACCCTGTTTTAAACATGTGTAAGAAGAAATAATACAGTTACAATTGCTATGATATCCAAACATCTTTATAAGAATTCCAGCATTACAAATTTTTACATGAAGAATCTATTCCCAGTTACTAGTGTCTGTGGAAAGATCAGCTGCAGCCAGTTCATTCCGAAAGAAGATGGGAATAGCCTGATCTTTACCTTTAAACGAAACACAACCAGTCCAAGATGTCTCTTGGCAGGAATTTCAAAGAGCGGATCACTTTTAACCAAAGATTCAAAGAATTTGGCTGTTTCAGTGCCCTATAATTAAAAAATAATAATAAAAAAGAGTAATTATGCATCAGTTTGTCACATACCCAATATAAGACACTAAGCTAACTAGTTACAAATGCATCATTCCAACATGAATGATAGCAAAATTAAGAATGACCACAACTAAAATTTTTTAAAACTATTTGCTAAAGCCTATGGTAGGATTTGTTAAGAGTCTGATCTTTTTCCAGTAGGTTTGGCAGAACCTTACAGAGAAACCCTTGACAGCAAATGAGCAACTGAACTGATACATGGGAGTTTTCTAGAGAAAGGACTGAAATTCCAAGTTAGCATCGTCTTACAATAGCTACTGATGCACAATATGATCCCTTGTACTTATATTCCACCAAGGATTTAAGCCTGTAGATTCACACAGCTATGGGTTCATCACAGTCAGCCTCTCAAACAGCTGCCACTTTGCCTCAAAGAAAAGCTCTATGGATAGTGGAGGCAGAAGGCACTGATTTATCTAGGTGCTCTCCTTTGCTTCCTGCTTCCCAGAAGCAGACAGGAAAAGCTTTGCTTATATAGTAATACTTTTCAAATGGCTTAAGATTAAAATCAGCATGCCTTTAGTGTTTACATGCAAGGTTGATATGACAGGATTTCTATTATTCATCATTTTATCACTGAGTTTATTTAAACTTAGCCRCCAATAAATGTACACTGTTTATGCTTATGTTGTTAATGTACATACATGCCGGACATGATCCTGAAGCTTCTTCACTCCAAATGAACGAATCACAAACCACAGCTTCAAAGAACGAAATCGACGACTTAGTGGAATTTGCCAGTGCTGGAATGAACGAATAAATAAATAAATAAATAAATAAATAAATAAATAAATAAATAAATAAATAAAGCGTGTATCAACAAGTGCAAAAACCAGAGTAAGAAGCGTCCTCTCACACTACCACAGTCTCATGTTTCAGATCTGCACTCATGTCAGAAGACTTGACTGACACAAAGAAATTCACATTAGGGAACACTAACTGGGCTCAGTCCATAGCTTTTCCAAAGAACACCTAGGTCTACATGTATTCCAAGCATTTGGAAAATTTGAATTTTGGCTATTCTCCTTAGGCTACAGTAYGGTTATGTTTAGGATTTTTAGTTAATTACCAATTTATACATAACAACTCCTGCTCACTTCCAGTCCTGTAATATGCATATTTAAGTGCCATGCTGAATGACTTCCCAAATCAACTATAAACTGTTGGAACAGATTTAGAATTAGACCCTTCTAGAGAAAATAATGTTTGCTGCATGTAAAATAGCAAAAGAATAAGTAAAAGTACTTCTAGTTATCTACAAAATGATTTCCAGGGTTCTATTTAACCGCAAGAGGGACTCACTGATTTTTTTTTTTTTCCCCTCCACAGAGACACACAGACACTCCAACACTCTAATGAAAAGCATTATTGATTTACACAAATAAAACAATTAGTTTCAGGATTTGAGATCACAGCTGAAACAACTACTAATTGAATATTATCTTGCTTTACTGTACTGAAAACTTCCGCAAAATGGATCTAAACTGAAAYGTGCCACAGCTCTCCTAATAACTTCGTGTGAAGGGCAATGTAATTCATTCTATTGAAAGCATTTCTATGCAGTTTTATAATCAGTTTTCATAACTAAAGCTCRCTTCAAAGTTCTATTATTTAATCTCCATTAGGATCTCATTACGATTGCTTTTATAATTTTATGTAGTAAGACCAGCTACAAAGCAAGCACACTGCAGGCAATCTGTCTTTGAATATTTCATAGGCAATTCAGAATATCAACTCAAATGCTGACTTACCATGAAATCGACAGCAGCTCCCGAATTGGGATGCCTGAGGTAGACGGGGCTAACATTGAAGGTTTGATGTAACTTGTATTTATCTTTAACCCTATCAATTGTAGAATATATGATTAGCAAAAAAGAAAAAAAAAACAAAACAGCACTTTGCATATTATGGTGTGTGTATTTTGTTTTTACTCACCAAAATCCAGTGCAGTCAAAATGAACCATCATCCATTTCGAAGGATTGAAAGTAAAGGAATCTGCATATTCAATTCCATCCAAGAACAACCGAAATTCAGGACATACAAATGCTGTTCCTGCATATGCAGCATCAATATGAAGCCAGAGCCCCTCAGCATCACCTGTTGGAATTGAAACTATTGTATGTAAGGGACATCAGGTATCAAAATACGAGCCTAACTTCTTACTCACTGAACATGAGGTGTATGGGCAAGAAGCAGAGACAGAGCTGCTGGTCATCAGCAGCTGCTTGTCAGAATTTATGCTAAAGTAGAATTTGAAAGAATCTAAAATCTGAATTTGAATCTGAAAGAATCTGAAATCTAAATTTGAAATAATTACTTAAAATTTATCTATTGAATTGGTGGCTACAAAGGATGTCCTACTAACCACTATTTACAAAATTCCTTTGATAAATTAAATATGTATTCATCCATTTTACAACAGTACTACAGTCTGCAGTGTACACCACGTATATTCCCTGGAAAACCACATTAAAGATTTATTCATTGGCAAATTTTATTCATCTTGAGTAGAACATATTTTAGCACCCTAATATAAATCTTACAGAAATCAGTGGAAGAACTTGCACTGTCTCCTCTGTAGATTGTCAAAACATATCTGAAAAACTTAGCTGAGTAATGTGTCTATTCTCCTTGGTTTGGGCATGAAAAATCCCCACACTGTCCTGTCTGTTCTATCATATTTTAAAAACAACAAAACAAAAAACAGACTTACAAATTGGACCCAGTTCTGAGAGATTGTCAAAAGCGCAGACACCAGTTGTGCCCAAAGTTGCACAAACCTAGAAGAAAACAAACATGTTGAGATGATATTTTTAAAATAAAATGATGCATTTTAAAACCAGACAGGCTATCAATTCAGTCAAAAAAGAAATGTTACTAGATGTTACTAAAATATTTGAATTCTATTAATCAGAAATGGTCATATTTTAACTTTCAACTCATCATTTTAGCAAAGTAAGAAATGTTTTTAGACATTTTTATGTTGACATTTAGAGTACATTACTATGTCAATAATGAAGTTGAACATACAAAAACAGGTACTAGGCCTTTGTTTCTGTCTTCTTCAATGGCTTTCATCAAAGTTTCACCTCTGAGGGAAAAGTTCTTATCTACAGGCAGAAATTTCATCTTCACAAGAGTAATCAAGCCAGCCTTTTCTACAGAAGAATGTGCCTAAAAACCAAAAGAAAACAAAAGAAAGAAACAGAAAGAAAGCTCTGAGGTTGAACAACTCTGATAAATTATGACATTATGAAAGTGATCATAAGTAAAGTTATATTAATCCATTATATTAATCCAAATTATAATTAGGACTTTAATTACATAAGGTCCCAATTATATCTATAGGCATCTTATCTCTATAAAGTCCTAATTATAATTTGGATTAATATAATGGTCTGGGTGAGACAGAAGAAGCAGAAGTGTTTCTTTGTAACCCGAAGAACCTACCTGATCAGATGCATAAGCGACAAGACGAGAATTGAGTGAGGACTCATCAGTGTCTGGCTCAGAAACTTTCATTTCCAAGATCTTGTTTTTCCTTGCTGCTAGCAGTGCAACCAAAGTTGATTCACTCACAGTGCTCTGTAAAGACATTGTACTTTTACAGCAGCATATTGCTACTTGATTACCATTTAAGTCAGGTTTTACCAAAATCATTGAACTGCTCAGCTGCCCACAACCTCTTTCATTTCTTTAACTGCTTTTCTCAGATGCAGTGTAAAGTTCGATGAGTTTCTCCTTCAGGTGAAATGGACTGAAAAACACAAATCTGCTTACCTAATTTATCTTTCGTCTGTGCACAAGAGTACTAGCTCCTAGTCTATAATATATTAAGGATTAAAAATAATAAACTCCTATTCTATAATCTTCCACATTTAATTTTAAAATTCAGTAAAAAATCCTGTTGGTTTTGCTTCAAGGAAAACTATCATTCCTTTCAGAGGGAAATTCACTTGAGTGAAAAGAGAAACTTAGACAGGGTCACCTCTGTCCTACCTGYAATACTCCTCCTCCCACACTGTTGGGATGGTGGTGCAGGAATTTATCCGGAAGGCCCAGCATTTTAGCCAGCCAATCCATCACGTTCATTTCCAGTTCTGTGCAGGCTGGACTGGAGGCCTAGCAATTCAAACAGAGAGAATCAGCTTACTGCCACGTACCACATTTTAATTAATAGATATTAACATCTTTAATTGCTTTGGCAGAAATCTCATCTAAATGTGACAAAAGAGTAGATTACAAACTTTATAGTATTGGATATTTAGATAGCCCTATAAAACTATGGCAGACACCTCACAGAGCRTAATATCACAATAATGAGAATGGTGGTGTCTGATGGCTTTATTTTTTATGGGTTAATGAACTTATACTTGTTTCTACATGAAAATAWAAGGTTAAAGATGTAGGCAACTTCACAGTGGAGAAAAGATTGGCTTCAGAATGCCAGCAAGGGCTGCAGAGTCAAACATAACTGAGCAGGGCTGCGCAGCTGCARGAGGACACCGGATAAAAAGGCTTTCTGGGACAGGCCAAATAACTTAACTTACAAGGAGAAAAGTAGGAAACAGGAAATTCTTCATCTCAATGGAGCTGTCACAAGTGACAGCTGTTTTATTGCCTACTGTGTTTGTGCAACAGCCAAGGGACTAGCACCAGAGGTCCATGRGCAACCCTAATGTTATTTCACTTCTTTCTACTTGCTAACTTTTGCTCTTGCTATGCTCAATTTTAAAAATATCTTCAAATTTCTATGAGAAGACAGTTTTAAGTTGTACAAAAATTTAGCGTGGTTTAAAGAGTTATGCAGATTCATAGAAAGTGACAGTACTCATKGAAGAAGAATATCCAAAGCAGCAAAAACCAGAATAATTTACCCAAGTGAATCCCAAGCAGTTAATTGCATCAGCCAACATATCTCCCAGAAGTGAAGGCCAAGAAGTGAGAGCTGGAAAGTAGGCGTGCATATGCGGGCTCTGCCAATGGACTACCTAGAACAAAGTTAACCAGAAGTTAACTGAAAATGTCTCCGAAAATGTCTCAAAATTCTTCAGCAAAGGTAGTAATTAGCATCTGGTTAGTGATGGAAAAGAACTGCAGCAACGTAATATGCACAATTATAGATCTGCTAGCAGAAAACTACAGAGATGATATCAATGGGAGAAGAGCACTAGCAAATGATAACACTGTCATTATTAGATAAATTCCAAATGGTAGCAAAAGCATTTATCTGAATTAAACACGCACACAAAGATCTTTCAACAGGAAAGAATGGTCTTTTGACAACATTATGGTGGCTTTTTAAAATAGTCTTTGTAACACCTTCTTACATAAAATGTTTAATGGGGTACCATTGTCTCCCTGAGCAGAATCTGCAGTATAGATTTACAAGAGAAAACTTTATGATCATGGGGACAAGTCATGAATTTGGGTAAAAGGTACTTCACCTTATGGTGTCTCAGTCTCCCCATCTCTGCAACTAAGGTGATGCCACTTGTCAGGTGGGGCTTTGTGAAGCTAAATTTCTTGATATCAGAAAGTCAGCTTCTCTCTAAGCAAGTAAGAACTACTCCAAAGTCTAAAATACTTCAAAAGTTTATTCATTCTAACTCTTAAAACTGTTGTCATTAGAAATAAAACTGCAATCTCCAAGATCCTTCTCTGGACAAAATCCCTACATGAATTATTCTATATTTTGAAGTGGTTTATTAAATAAATATTCTGCAGAATCTATGCATTCCCAGAATTTGATGTTACCCCAACTAGTAGCAACTCCCCCCCCCCCCCCCCCCCCCCCCGCATGACACTTTAATCCTTACCCCAGGCATAATAATCTTCTCTATGTCTCCAAAGATGTTGTCCCAGCTGTCTGGATCCATTGGGGCAGAATCTGGCAATTGGGCTCTCATGTAGCCTGGCTGCACGTCAGGAGTAACCCGTCTCTCTCTCACGCTGTTCAGGTACTGGCAGATGTAATCCACCATCTCTTTCCCTGGAAGAAGCAACACAGCCTCAGTTCACTGTATCATGAATCATTCCATGAATTGTTACTAGTATTTATCTGGGAACGCTCACATAGCACCACATATGGCAGGGAGCTGCGTGATGTCCTGGAGGTTTCGGATTATTCAGTGAGTGAATGTTTTCCTACAGAAAGGACTGGCCAGCAGGCAGAGACCAGAGTTAAATCCTCCCTCCAGCGGGGTGATCTTGGGAAAGCCACTGCTCCCACACCTTATTGCTCCTTCCAATAACACTCCTAGGACAGGCTTCACTTCAGGGGACTGAAGGGATTGATAGGGTTATTTCAGGGTTATTATATAGTGTCTGACTACTAGATAGATATTCTTAAAATTAACAGAAACTGCTCATTTCACATAAAGCAAGCCTCCTGTCAGTACAGTTGTAGGCTTTCTGTGTCCTCTGGAATCAGCTCCACACCTTTGCTCCATTCGTTAGCCAACCTCCTTCAGCAGTGGGTCCAAGATTTACTTCCCATGTTGAGGACTGCACCAGTACCAGTGAATTTTCATGGTCCCAGACAGGAAAATAGCCACTATGTGCAATACACCTCTAGCCCAAATTTATTCAGAATCACAGGTTTTGTGATCTTTCCCATAGCATTTTACAGGTAAGATCAAAAAACTTAAAGTCATTCACTATGCACTCACTTTAAAGCCACTGGTTTCAAATCTACCCTGGGACACGCTCCTCTCAGTTCAGCCGGGATCTGTCTCAAAGCAGCAGATGCAGCTTGAGAGCGCCCAGCTCGCCCTATTTCTGGGTACCATTCCCAGCGCTTCCCTGGGATCAAATGCCCCTATTTCGGAGGGCAGAAGAGGGGAGCTGGCACTTACCTCTCCGCCTGTACTCCTCCGGCTCCATGCTGCGTGTTCCAAAGGCACCTCCGGGACGCCGGGCAGGACCGTGCAGTAGGCAGCACCCTGCGAGATGCTCCCCCTTTATAGCTCTCTTTATCTGCCAGACTCACGCACTCTGGAAAAGGTTTAACTAGGCAGGTTATTGGTGAGCGCTTCTCTGACTCCTCCCAACTGAGGGCTTTTACAGTCTCTTGTACGTTCTCATCTGTGCTCTTTTGATGTGCCAGGCAGTATCTCTGAGAGGAGCCACCTCTGCACGAGCCTTTTCCCACTTTGGAACAACTTTTCAGAAGGCTCATGGTGATCAACATTTCATTGAGTACCAGAAACATCGGACTTGTGTGAGAGAGAAAAACTTAGTTTCCAAGGCTAAATGAAAGCAGCTATCTCCCAGTCCACCGAAAAAAAGCCTAAGCAGTAGTTAATACAGTACAAGCATCAACAAGTAACAAATCTGATGCTGCATTTCGAAAATTATGATGACTTCATATATATTTTAAAACAAAAGAGATTTAGGACTGCTTTTTTTCTTGCTCGAAGAGAGTTTCTGCTTCCTCACACTTACTGAATATTTATGCATTCAGTCCCTTGCTGTCCAAGGAAAGGCACCACAACTGCTGCCAATTCCAGAGCTGCAGTATCAAGTAATGATCCCGCCTGGGAAATCCTGCTTTTGGGTCAGGCTGATCTGCACTGCAGGGTAACRTTCCTCTGTTGCTGTCTCCCTAGACTGGTAAGCGGGGTAAATCCATCTTCCTCACACACTGTGCTTGCCTTGCTCACAGGTGAGGGCCATAAGCTCTCCAGATCGGCCTCGTATCTCCAGAGCTCCTTCCACCTGGGCTGATCTTAGCTTGAAAACACGCACGTGGAGCCCCCGCACTCATTTCAGAAGCAGGAATCACATCCTGACCTGTCTCRGGCAGCGTGGACTTTGACACTATTTCAATGTTGAGAGCTAATTCTCTTCAGCAGGAGGAAGCTTCTCTACACTGACACCAGGCAGTCCTGGGAAAAGAGAGAATTAAGACTTAAAGATCTTAGGTCTAAGTGTCCTAAGCGCTGTGAGGAGAAACAATTACAGAGTGTGCTTGCCCTAACCTTGCTTCTGTTCAYGTCTCTGTTGGAGACAGTGTTTGGGGTAAAGGGACCATCAGTGTGATCCACTGCAGCAGGTTCTCCGTTCCCATGGCACCTCTTGGAAGGTGCCTCCTCTTTCCTGCCTGACACCCAACACAGCCTGAACTCTTCTGCTATTCTACAAAGTTGTCACTTCTTGCTCCACAGCGAACTTTACACAGGACAGTGTAAAAAAACCTTTCCTACTTCTGCTGCGATTAGATATTTGAGAAGGAACAACTGTTTCTGAGATACAACAACGATGCTCTGATACATGCTCATCAGATTAATATACTGAAGTAGAACCGTTGATTAAAAAAAGGCATTTCAAAGCAGTACAAAAAGCACCCAAAAAAAACCCCATAGACTTATTAATTTATCTTATGTTTCTCAGGAAACATAGCGAAAAAAATAACAAAGTTGACAGCGTATTTAGTATGAGCTTAAGGAACCTCCCTTGGCTTTGCTATTACCATGAAAGGGGACAAGGGAGGTGAGAAAGGGCTGTCAACAAGCACAGGAACAGCTCAGAAACATGGGCAAAACTGAGATTCCTGCTCGTGACAAGGGAATAACATCATTTTAAATAAGGAAGCACATCTGTTTAAAAAAAAAAAGTAGCTGATTACATTTATRACATCAATTTGGAACAGCAAATAAGGAGCAATACTTAGTTACAATGTTTTCTGATCTAAACTACACATAATAAATATTCCATTTGACATATATTCTACGTCTTTTACTCAAAACCAACGGTTTCGTCAGTTTGGTTTTTTATTCTGTGTAGAGAAGAACAAACAGTAGGTCCTGTTCCAAACTAGGATAAGGTAGGCGATAATGAATTACAGGTTCGGTAAATATTGCTGCAGATAGGGCAATTTTTGTTATAGCTACCTTGCACTCGGAAAGATTTTGTTACAGCCAATAAGGAACAGAATTATTTGCTCACAGGAAGCAAAATGAATAGAAAAGGTTTTCTCATTGTTTGCTACAAAGGCCTGTGCTGCCAAAGCCGTGGGAAATTCTCCACTTGGACACGAACGTTATCACTATCGCTTCTTGGGCTAACGTTGAAATTTTTATCAACAAGAGTTCACAGAGATTAAACCATAGTTAAGTTCGAGAGATGTGAAGACAGAAATACTATTTTGAAGACTAATTCAACCGCAGCAATGCCTAAATCGCACATTTCACTTGGCTAATTCATTCCTAGTACCAGAACGACCAGTTTCCGAGAAAAAAACACTTTAAAATTCCTTTTCCATTTAGTCTGCACTAACTGCACAAGGTTATTTCAGGTCTTACTACCACCTGAGTATGATTTGCCAACTTCCAACTGATTCTAGGATTCTTTTTTACTTCTAAGTTCCAATTCTACAAACTCACAATTTGAAGTACAAAGATTTTAATTTGTGTTAATGCAATTCCTTTCCCACTCTTTTCCTCCTACCTTGAAGGAAATTTAAAGCTAAACTAGATTTTTCATATTTTCTTAATGCTTAACACAACACCATTTTGATCTTGTAGCACACAAAAAAAAAAAAAAAAAAAAAAAAAAAAAAAAAAAAAAAAAAAAAAAAAAAAAAAGGAATTGATTCTACACTATATGTGGAAAAGATATTTAATTGTAAAATAGAAAAAGTAGGCCAGAGTACAGTTTTAAGGGTAATTCTTTTGTATACAGTATAGGTAAACTAGACTTTTTGCTTAAGTTTATATAAACAATTTCATAAAAGCAGTGAAACATGGAACAACAAAGCAATGCACAAAGTTTTATCTTACAAAAATGGAATCTGCACAGTAGTTTAAATTTCAATGTAACACAGCACTGAACAATCTTAAGGCAGCTTAGTCTAAGCACAGGACTAGAAGCCAGGAACTCCTGAGATCCATTCCCAGGCCCACCACAGATCCCCGGGGTCTTGGGTCAATCACTTAACACTCCCTGTGTCTCGCTTACACCAGTTATCAAACGGAGACAGCGCTCACTTACCTGCCTCTGGCAGCACAGTATGGTTTGTTCTTTCAAAGACTTATACAATGCTTTGGAGATGTAACGTGCTATATCAACCCTAAGCATAACAGATCACTGCACAGACGCACACAAACACAGTATCACAGTGAAGAACGATGATGCTAGGTCGGAAGATGCATCAATATAACATAAAAAAATCACTTATCCCATTGCATAATTCCAATGCAAGAGTCTGTTTAGAAAAATGCATCACTGAAATAATTTTGAGACTATTGAGGAAAGCAAATCAAAAGGAATAATCTAAAAGAACTGTTGTTTCTGTTCCAGCGGAGACATTCTTTTATATTCATTACTGAACTTTAAAATATTTGTACATGAAAACTGTAAGACACACAAAGTTTGGGAAGTTCCAATGCCTCCAGTGCCAAATTTTAAATTGTCTATATTACGTAAATTAAGATTTTTTTAATATATCTTTTATTACAAATTACATTCCTCCAAGAAATATGTCATTCACAATAAAACTGGCTGCTTGCTTACTTCAAATGGCCTACAGGCTAAGCATTTTTTTCATAAATTTTTCTCATCTTTGCTGAAAAATACATATGCAAGATGTATGTGTAGAAATTATAAAAACATGCAGCATATGTACAAACTGAAAAGTTTAAAAAATATTAGCTTCATATACATGTAAATCTACTTGGATATATCTGAAATTAAATATAAAAATTTCACCGCCTAAAAAACAAAACAAAAAATGTTTTTCAGAGAATCTCAGACAACTACTTAAAGCTTTACAAAAATTTCCACCTGGAAATGTCTTATTCAGAGAAGTTTAAGTTGTTACCTTGTAGAAGTAACTGTTAATTTTGTCCCATAATTCATTTTCAAGTTGTCAACTTAAATCAGCAACATCACCCTTAAAACTGTTCTGTTTTTCAGAAATTAGATTCATACTAAAATCAAAAGTTTCACAAAAACATTGGCTTGTGTTTCTGGATCCCTTCAAAAAGATTTATCAACTCATTTTGAAACTGTAAAAAAAACAACTATTTACAGTATTTCATTTTAAATACTCTTCACAATTCTAAATTCAGAGTTTTTATGTTACAAGAATTTCCTCAGAGCTCATGGCTTAAGTCCAGTTATCAACTTGTAGCATCTTCTCTATCATGTAATCCTGTGTCTGTACCTATACAGTGTACAGTTCAAGATTGTACTGCAGATTTTTGACTTAAAGTAACAGGCTTTGCAGTATGTTTTTGTTTATTTTTTATTAAACAGCTTCTTTATTAGTCTGGAGGCGGTTCATTGCCTCTAACTTCTGCCGATAAGCCTCTGCTTCTTGCTCTTTCTTTAGAAGTTGCTGACGATATTTTTGTGCTTCTCTGTTTGCCTCATCCAGCTGCTTCTGAAGAGTTTCTCTTTCCTAGTAGAGACAGAACCAGCAATATTTTGTCAAATACATATCAAATGCAACCTAAAATGGCAAATACTTCTTCTGTACGTACAACTCAACTGTTTGGACATCATGTAGGATGTGTTCAGTTCTTACCTGAGCAAACCTAAAWAAGTGTCCCTGTGTAAACTAGACATGAATTATCGTATCAGATATCTTCCCTCAATAAGCCTTAGAGTGTAAGCACCATAAACCTGATTTTCTTTAGCTGCAAAAATACCAAGCAAAGCTTCATGAAAAAATGGTAAAATACAAAAGTGAAAGCAGGATAGTCAAATACTAACACATAAGTCAACACTTCTCCAACGATTCAAATGCCTTCAAAACAAAATTTTAATCAATTTACAGTAGGACTGACATCCAATACAACAGGACTGTCTCTGTATTTCCAATCAGATAATATTACCAAAAGCTTTTACCTTATAGTGGTTTGCGCTGGGAAGTAACACTAGCTCATGCCAAGTGAGCTGGGGCATGTGTGTGTGTGTGTGTGTGTGTGTGTGTGTGTGTGTGTGTGTGTGTGTGTGTATGATTTATATATATATATGATATATATATATAAAAAGTATATGATTTCTAAATGAGATGATCTGAAGAATATCATGCAATCCAGAGACAAAATTACTTCCTCAAGAACATGACATTTTTTATGAATTAATAAGCATTTGATTAAGTAAGTCTCTTTAAGTTAAAGAGAGTAATTTAAGGCTGCATCATGTTTGTGAGTTGGTTGAGGATGACTGTAAAAAGGTTACCAAGTAAAATAATACGGGAAATGCCATTTCCTATGCAGCTGCCCTAGGAAATGAGAATGCATTTCTACCTCCAGTGACGTGCATACTGTCATCTTGTTTGATGCTGTACTGAGCCTAATTGAAAGAACAATTTGCTTAGAAAATAGTTTTGTTTTGATCTTCAACCAAATAACTTTTCATTAAAGTGCATCATAATTTTATGAATAAGATAGTATATGATTTCAAATACTTTTTTCTACTGTAGTCATAAGTATCAGAGGAGTGAGGCTGTCAAAGCAGCAAGCTCTCTCCCAGGAAAACAACTCTATCAAAAACTGAACCACAGTGATAATGCACATTTTCACCTTATTTCCCATCCCAGCAGTCCAATATACAATTCCCATTCATATTTCAAACATCTGYAGAAGTTCTCCCTTCCGAGCAGCACCCCTATTCTTCATGTCTGATGCACTCACATATTCTCATGATCAGAGCCCGAAAATACAAAACGCTGCCTCCCTTCTACTTGCTACTGCTCTCAGTACTGGCCACAGCCACAGCCAGCAGCCACGTGCTCTGCTGAGTGTGTTGGAATTCAGTAATTAGATTTTTGCTAACAGCAGCATCYGTACAGCAAACACTACAGGTGAAGGAGAGAGAGTTGTTAACAGGTTCACAGAGACTAGCACTGAGAACACAGGATCGAGTGTGTAGAAATAGAACCTCATTTTACACATGACTAATTTTTAACAGCTGAATGAAGGGAATATTAATTATTTCACTTGCAGTATATGCTAATAAAGAGAGCTCATCTGATCTGACTGGCTCATATGAAAGAGCAGTTCAGCTCCCAGCTCTGAATATCTGGATTCTGCTTTATAAATGATTCAACCCCACAGCAGCTGAAGTGGCCAATGTCAAATGTTGTGGCAAGATGATCAACAGAGCCTACATTTCACAAAGGATCTAAAACACCAAGAACAATRCTCCAGTGCTGACACTGTGGATTTCTAAGACTCTGGCTCAGTAGCATCCAACTTTCCTCAGCTTATTAAAGGTAGGGGAAAGTTTCTGCAACTGTTGTACAACTTGCTCTTGCACTTACCCTGGTGTCTGAAATACAAGTGTATTTTTATGAGAATGCCTGGCAGAGTGAGCTCTTATCCCCCTCTTTGAGAGCCCAACCCTAGAGGAAAGGGTCACCAACCTCTGAAGCCCAAAGTCAACCCAAAACATAGAGCTATTTCTGTTAATTACCTGTGTAGCTTAAGGGTAACCTACAAACATGTTAGGTAGAACAAGCSTAGGGCAGTGTAAAATTGAGGAAAAAAAGAGAATTCCCAAGAAACAGTCAAGAGAGCTCATTCTGGTATGTGTAGAAAGCAAGCCTTCCATCCCAGAGCCACGGAGCTCCAGCTCTGCTCGGCTGGGCATCACCCACCACATGAACCTGCCACAAGCCCAAAGCAGGGCTGCACTGCGGGCTGGCCGCGGGGCTGCAGGACACGGAGCAGCAGCAGCAGCAGCTCCCCAGGCGGCGCTTGCGGCTTACGTGACACAAGGCAGGCACTATCAGCACGGGCAGGGTACATGGGCTGGGGGTGCCTGGGGCCAASAAGCTCTCCAAGCAAATCTGAGACTTCCCACAAGTGGGGAAAGAGCCTGGCTCCCACCATGCCATATGTTAAAGAAGGGAAAGAAAGAATGAAAGGAAGATCTCACCGGCAGAGACCTGAGGACAGCACTAGTATTTTCCAGGCAGACTAGCAACTGAAAGCAAGCAGATTATTTTAAGAACCAGTATTTTAAGAACCAGTATTTGTGGTTTAGAAAAAGGCATGGTCCTAATGTAAGCAGAAAAAGTTAAGTAACTAGAGGCCAAATACACTAACTAGGCAATGAAAAGAAAACAATTCTGCTGGAGAGGCAGTACAGAACTACTGTAGAGCAAAAGCAGGTTCTCTGCTTTTGACATCTAAAAAAGGAGGATTACATCCAGGCTATTCATTTCTGCAGATCTAGAAAATGTCCGCAGGGTGTCCTTAAACCACAACTGAGAGTGTTCTAGTTATCTAAACTCATGCTGCCCCCATCAAGATAAATCCGTATCCACTTACAAAAGAAGCTGGAGGATTCTGAGCACTCCTAAGGAATCTTCCAATTCAACAGAGAATTTTCTTCTACTATATTTAAACTTTTTCCACAGTCTATATATTGAAGACAAGCACATCTACAACTAAATTACCCCAAACTAAGCTTTATTTTTAGACATTAAAAGAGTAGGTATATGAATCRACTAAGATAATTAATGACTATGATTTTTTTGTGAAGTCTAATGAAATGATTGTTCTGGTGCTATCTAATGCGTGTCAATCACCCAACATGCGACATGAGAAGTACAGAATCAAATTCAAGAATGAAAATAAAGAAGTCTGTATGTTAACAAACTATGCATGAAAATGAATAACAATATTTAACAGTCAATTTTTTTTTGCTGCCATAGTATGTTTTAAGTAAAAGTCAGCTACTTAATAAAACTGCTATTGCTCTTCAAAATGAAAGGGAGTGTCTAAATATAATGGGCCGAAAAKAAAGAGCCAAAAAATGCTACAGTTTAATACTTCGGTCCTTTCATAGGAAAGTTTGTCACCTCATGTGAGTGGGAGCTCAACTTCATTAACACATTTTCAAAGTACTGGTAACTATTTAGATGTACACTATGAATTAAAAATGACTGAAAAAAGACCCAAATCAAGTCTATAATGACTATGATGACTCAAAAAATCCTGATCTTCAGTAAGACAAGAGCTTCCCAGATTCAAAAAACAGTTTGGTAGGGAAGRGGTCCTATTCCCTCCCATTCAAGTACTTTCCACCCTGTACTATGATTAAGTTTAGATGAAACCACTCATTTAATTCCCCAGTTAATAGAGGTAGCACCTGTGACCCTCAGTGACGGCTGAAGGCCGAGTCCCTGAAAGGCTCCGACAGAGGCAGGATCTCTCTCTACATTTTCAGTTGAACACTCACGGACTAAGTCTTCAAAACTTGCACTTGGAAAAAATAGATTACATCTTTCATTTTAATCAACAATTATTTAAGAAATGTGTTTAAAATATATAAGTGAAGCTAGCRGTTGTACTGTTATATCAACTATCTACATCTAGAAAGAGGTCAATTTATCTGAATTTTGCTCCTTTGCAACAGAATTATTAAAATACTTAAGGAAACATAATTTCCTTTAGGAATAATTCAGGCAGATGTTTAAAAGTGTGAACAAAAGATTTGTTTTTATTGTAACAGTCATACACTTAAAAAATGCAGCAAGAAAATTTCAACTGTCATGATAATCTCTAATTACCACAAGGCTGCAAAGGCCAAAGGTATTTGATTGTGACAACTTAAGGACAGGGGAAGTCAACGATGAAAGGTGATAATTGTTATTAGACATGAATAAAGTATATCACAACTGTACAATAAATAGCATTCAATTAGGCACAAAAAGTTACTTGGTAACATGAACAGAAGTTGGAGAATACAACCTTTGATAAATGAAACACCATGCAGTTAACAGAATGAGAACTGGCTACTCAAGGCAAACAGCAACTTTCACAGACTTCCAACCGTAACTAGTGAGCACAATTAGAAATGACACAAGAGGGAATGAGATGGTGGACCTTCGTGGATTATAAAAACAAATAATAAAAAAAAAGCTATAATCTTAAACAGCGAAGTCTAGTAGTCATATATAAAAAGAAAACTGTTCTCAGTATTGGTAGGTCTCATACTATTCAAAAACAGGATGGGGCAAAGCGATGTGTAGTAGTTCCTGCTCTAGCATTAAAAAGGATGAAGACACAAACTGATAAAGACAAAATCTTACTGTTTCACATGTCCATTAACAGTTATCTAGATATCATGAATGGAAAGGAAACATTGCTGAAAATATGATCTCACAATCAGGACAAGCACGTGGTCATAAACAGACAGATGAGGGGACAGTATTCTCATTCACTGCTGGCGGAAAGAGTCAAGTTAGGTGATAATATATATCAGTACTTTTTTAATAATAATAAAAATAAAAAAACACACACACAAAAAAGCACCCACTTAAAGAAGAGGAAAAAAAAAAAAAAAAGTTAAGTTACCAAATAGTTCAAAGTTCAACAATTGTCACTTATGTGCCCAACCAGAGGATGGAAAAAAAAAGACTCTCCTATCCCCCCCCCCGCCTTTTTTTCTTTTTTTTTTTTTCTTTTTTTTTTTTGTAACTCCTTTGTAAAAGTTCAATTCCTCAAAACAGCAAACATGGAACAAATTATTGTATCAAACTCTTAATTCTGTGGCAACACAGAAGCTTAGCTCTAAAATAACACCAAAAAACCCACAACCAAATATTCAGTTCTGAATACTCTGGTTAACACACATCATGTAATAGACTCCTTACTTCTATTTCTGCAGACTCCACACGATTTTCAACAATCTCAATGCACTGTCTCTTGACGGGTGGTTCTTCACTTATTACAGTTTCTTCAGCAATGTCTGTTGCTGGAACTGTTAATACTGAAAACATATTTGTATATGTAAATACTCATACTTTAAAAAGCATTTGCATCATGTAAAATTCATGTAATTAATTTCACTAAAAGCAGCAAAATACAATCATTTTCCCTTATGAAAATGCAGCTCTATAAAGGTACATTCTAAAACTCATGCAAGAAAAATTTACTGAATGCTCTGGCTATTCATATGTTACTRAAGAATTTCAAAATTCTTTGTTACTGAGGTCTATGACAGTTAGCTGTCCCTCTGGAGTATCTGGAGTATATAAATAAAGCACAGAAGTGATTTGCAACAGTGTTACCAAACTCGCAATTCTTAGCTTAAGCACAAGACTTGCTTTTTAGTATTTACTTACGAAACATTCTAAGTATCAAACTGACCTATTTCTATTAACTAGAAATTTAGACAATCTGAAAACCCAGCAGTTAACTTGGTGGGGAGAAGGGGACTAGAACAGAAATTCATACTCAGGAAGTTTACTCAGGAAGCCATCTGACACATTATATACATTCCAACAAACACTCAAGCTACTATCAATGCATGTTCATACTTCCTGATAATTAGTTRTGTTTGTTCAGACAAAAGCAGAAAAAACTACTCAACTCTTCAGGCTCCATATTGGGAATCATGTGGAAGAAATCATGGAGAAACTATGCTTGCCTAAATAGCGTCTGCAGAGCATCCTTGAAAGAAACCACCCCCAAAAACACACACATCCACATGAAATAACACTTATTGCACTAGCAGCTTCTMTTCACCGAGTATTTAGGATCCAACAGGGCCATTTATGTCACTCTGGCTCCTTTGTGTCTGCCACTGCTTCTCCTGGCTTCCTCCAGAAGAGCCAGAGGACTTGCACAGTTTSCTCTGGGTATGAGATTCCCAAACGCAAACTGATTTTTCCACAATACTTCCAGCAAGCCAATCATGTAAGAGTTGATGAAGGCTTTTAATGTTTATTTCTCTTTTATAGTTTTCATACCAAGTTCACAAGAGTAAAACTTTTCAAAGGCAAAGGTAGTGGTCATTTTTCCATTCAATGCCCATTTTTCTTTTATATGAGAGTTTAGCAATTCTGTTCCCTCTCCTAATGCAGAGGTTCAGCTGGCATKGGCTACCTGAACTGCAGCAATTCTCATGGATTCAAATCGTTCACAACACATAAGCTCAAGAAAAAAATTATCAATAATTATGCCAACTTTACCAGGCTATTTGCATTTTTCTTAATTAGAATAATTCCACAAGCTCACTCTGTAGAAATTCCTACTGACCTTGCTGTCCATCTGGCATGGTCACAATGATTGGCTGCCCTATCCCGCTGGTTGGGATTGAATGGAGGTTTCCAAGCTGAATGCCATCCGTGACTATGGTGATCACTTGCTGACCTCCAGAACTGACCACCTGCTGAATAGCACCATCCACCGATTCTGCAGTCACCACTTCTTCTGTTGCCACAACTATTAACAAATGAGTAAAGGAATTAAACCCATACACAAATGACTAYGACGGCCCAGGAAAGAACTTCTTCAATTCCTGAAATTAATTCACTACTTTACACAATAGTGTTAATCTTTCACCAGGCCTATAAAGTACTAATAATTTTAAAATATATATGCAATTCTGTGCTGGTTTATCTTGCCTGTTATACTGAATCTTGACTTAGCATTTTTCCTAGTAGATCTAACCACTGAAAACTGAAGTTTTGGGTTCAGTGTTAACAAGGCAGCAAGAATAAGATTTGCTTTAAGAATTGGAATTACTTTTGCATTGCACACAAACTGCACTAAGTTCACACTGACAGATGAATACAAATGAAACTGAAAACAYGGGCTTGAGAAACATAGCTACTTTTTAATTAATGATCTCACATCCACCATGTACATGACCTCAAAARTTACATGTACCAGGGATTTACTGAATTACGGATTTATATTATCCTAGCATGCCCTACAATATGCAAAAATCTCTGTTATAATGAAGGCATCGGGAGCGAAAAAAGACTTTCGGAAGTAGAAATCTGAGCAACCATCAATGAAGCCTCTGTCAGGTGTCCCTAAGGACCCAGCCCGATTCCTGTGTTCACAGTACTAGGTAATAACAGACAAAGGGGCCTCTAGAGAATCTTAAGGCTTTGGTTGTTCCGCAAGGGTACCTCAAACAAAACCACCCCGACTTTAACCACTAATCATATGAAGTGTGAAACAAGACTGAAAGGTTTTGAAAAGACTTTTTTTTTTTTTTTTGGTACATAGCATAAAAGGAGAAAGATGAGACTTAAAAACACTAACATAGAATACAGTAATCTTGTATGTATCAAGCTTTATAGGTAGAAATAAAAATAAGAGCTAGGCATTTTAAATTCATGATTCTGTAATGAATACTCGGGGCAGCACACTCACAGTYGTGCTACATTACACCTACAGATCAAGCTAAGGGAAAGACTACATKCAGAACTACATGACACAGCTTACATTATAACTGGGGACTCTCATTACTACCCTTATGTTTTTAAAAACAACAAAACACTAAGACAAAGAGCAAGATCACCAGCAGCAGAGTGAAAGAATCTCAAGCACTAACTCCATTTTATTTTCAATTTGTCAGGGCAAAAGCAATTTGTCAGGGCCTTTGATTTAAACAACAGRCATCACAGGGCTTTCTGTCTACAGCGATGACAATAAAACCTACTATAGACAGTTGTGATGTTTGAGATGAGACAAGGCAGAAATAACTCTGCAGCTTTCATCTTTCCAGCTAATAACCACACACAGCCCACTCTGCCACTCAAATGACTGCACTCACTGCCTTCTGAAGATCTTTATGTTCAGAGATTATTGTCCCATAGCACTTCTTAAATAATCACAAAGTGTTTATTCGGTAAATCAAACACTAATTCATGCATGAATAAGAGGTACTGTATTGAATTTGAAATAGAGGTTATTCTATATCAGAGAAAAAATGTTCCATAAGCATAGTCCTTACCCTTCTCTTGCTCTCTGTCTCAACATCTATAATCACCAATTGCCAGGTTTTCACATGCAGAGCTGAAGTTAATTAAAACATGTGATGACCACATTCCAAATACACATCTGTAATGAGCTGCTTCTCTAAACTCTCAGATCCCATGCAAACTCTTCTCCAGTTTGATCTCTCCTGCAACTAGGTCTTTCAGAAATCAAATATCTGAATTGACAGAAAATTGCACTGGCTTCTTCATAATGAAAGGCACTACATTTTGAATGGAGGGTTTKAATCATCCCCTTCACTCGCAATATTTAAGGTTTATAAGAGAATATACAGCTGTATTCAGTTGGTGTTCTAGAAACAAAAAAAAATGGATCAAGCAGAAACCCTACAGAAGGACTGAAAATGCTTGGTGATGAAAAGTCATATCTCTCTGTTGCTGGGGTACAGCCCTTATACCCTTATACCCTTATACATACCTTAATAGAAGAACATCTGTTATATTTTCAAAGAAAATTTTTTCAAAGATTGGAATTTCATTTTTGCAAGAATAGTTCCTCAAAAAAGCTGTATTTCAGTGTACTTTCATTAGATGAGATTAAAATACTTAGACCTCTTACCTGGTGTTTCTGAAGAATTAGACAGGGGGGCTGATGCTTCTGCTAAAGCCGCTAACGTGGCCAATACTGACGTTGATGAGTTTCCAAATTGTACAGCAGACACTCCTGTCTCATCTATTAGGAGGGAAAAAGTTAGCTGGTAATTTTAACAACTCATACGACACCTTTCTATATTGCTGTACTGAAATCTCTAACACACTAGAAAAACATTCTCAAAAACACCATTAAAGTGCTATTCTGAATTCATGTACAACTTGAAAATATACAATATATATTGTATACAACTTTCAATAATGTAACTCCAGAAACGCTTTTTTTTTTTTTAATTCTGAAATTGAGATATTTGTAACATATAAGAAACACTGAAGAAGGTAACTACTCTACTCTTACCATTATTTTCCTCTAGTCTTTTCATTAGTTGGTGAAAACCAATTCAAGTGCAAAATCCCAGTTTCTGTCCTATATACATCTAAATACCTGTTTCATGTGATGCATTTGYAGAAGATACCAGACCTGTTAAGTTCACCACCCCTCCAGGTCCAATGATAAACTGTGGTGTTGCTGCATGTATTGTCACAGTGTCTGGACTCTCTGGATTTGTATTGATTTGGTTCTGCATGGCAATCTAGAAGACAAAGGTTAAAAATACCATTCCAATTGTAGATAAAATAATTCCAACWGTATACAAGGCAGTTATTCAGAAGATCTAGAGCGAGCACATTGCACTCAGAGGAGCTCTTCTCCCTAGTTATGCTCATGCAGCATACACACACTGTATCACATCTTCTGCTTTGCCTACGTACATGAGAAACATCTTTTGGGTAAAATCTAGAGATACCAAGAAGTCTGTTGGAGCAAAAGAGAAGACAAAAAGAGCCTGCCACACTTCTTCACTTGCTGTAAGCAAAGAGGACCATCTAATCACACAGGCTTTTTAATAGACATGTAACTTCAGGTATCTAAAATAAAGGCCTGAATAACCAAGACAGCTGTGATAGTTGCATGCCATGAAAACCAGCTCTGGACAAATTGTACATGACTTCTGGTATCTTTTTCCTTCTTTCTATACTATCCACTTTTATTTACTACGTTTTTTGCAATAAAGTATATGGGTAGAGTTAAGTTTTATAYTCTGCCTGCAAAGATTCCAGATGGTTCTGTATACTACATTTTCCTATGTAATTAATGTTTATTAATATTAATCTAATTTTCATGACACAAATTATAACAGAGCCTAGTTTAGTAGTTAATATATGGTCTCAGTTACTATATTAAAAGCTTGTATAAACAAKTACTCTCTTAAGTCTCCTTAGCATCATGAATCAAAATTACCTGTAATATTTCTGCAAGATCTTCATTTCCATTGTCTATTGCAATATCTAATGCAGTTTTGCAAAATTTACTCTGAGCATGGACATCTGCTCCATACTTTATWAGGAGTTCTACCACTTCTTGGTGATTATGTTCAGTAGCCCAGTGAAGTGCAGTCATCTTGAGCATGTCCTTGGCATTGACATCAGCACCATGCTGCAAACAAGATCATTGCATAAACTGTGTCATTATAAGCATCTGAAAGGAATAATGCTGCTCAGGGAACGAAGCCCAAAACTGTCTCTTCTTCTAGTATTAATGTCCTGTTATCCTACATCTACTGATTTCCTAGAAGTGCTTCAATGTAGAGTATTACATAAATTATTTAACACAAAAGAAAGACTGAAGAATCCCTACCCAAAACATGTCTTGGTTCTAAAACACCTGTCACTTACACAGTGCCAAATTGGGACAAGTCTTATTTTGAATTAGCAGTAATTAATTCACCTGAAATTATGATCATTTTAATTAATACTAAAATAAATCATTAACTGAAATGGAAAAGAAAGCAGTCACTATAAACACAGTGTGTATATTCTGTAAATAAACAACTAAAATATATTTGTACCTATTCAATAAAGAATCATCACGATAGTCCAGCTTCAGACTTGGTTACAAGACTTTTTACCTTAAGCAAGACTTCTACTATGTTGGCATGGCCTTCTGATGCTGCCATATGTAATGGAGTTCTGTCCACTTTGGTTCTGGCATCCCGACTTACACCTGCTCGCAGCAACACTTCTGTTGTCGAGTAGTGCCCGTACTGTGCTGCTAGATGAAGTGGAGATGTTCCCAGCTGCAATGTAAGGTAAAAAGGGCCATTGTAATATTTGTAAAGAGCTATTTTATTTAAAAGAGGGTTTAAAGGTGTAAATTCTTTCTAGCTATCTCAACATACTAGCAGCAGTTCTCTGGCAATGACTTTTATCTTTAAGGTGCGATATGTTTCAAGGTGAACAACCTCATTCTTAAAAAACAGACCACACCAAAGCTGCAATGGACCTCTGGAAACTATCTAGTCCAACCTCCTGTACAGAGCACAGACAATCTGAAAATCAGGTTGCTTAGCAGATTAAGACCCTTCAGTCATTGTAAACACCCTAAAACCATAGGCACCTAATTTACTCTCTCTTAGACATCTCCAAAACCAACTTAAGAGTATCTATATCAGGAAAATCTCAATTACACCTATTATGTATTTGAGATTACGCTCTAATTTCAGAATGCTTACTAAAGACACACAAAGACAGTAAGTTGGATGATTGCAGTTTTTTCTTGTTAACCATTCTAGCATTCACCTTAATAATCAAAGGAACTCATTCATAGCTTATCACTAAAACTAGCAAGCAGTCAGATGATATCAAAAAGCAGACTTCATTTGCAATTAGGTATGAAATGATGTGACAGCAGAATTCTAAAAATAAAGTATCAAAGCTCGTAACATAAATGCTTAATTGTAATAATACTTTCGACTTTTTCAAGGTGAAAAAAAATAGAATTTCCCAAATATCACAGAAGTTTTCCTTACCCAATCTGTGGTAAAAGGTGCTCCATTTGCCATCAAAATGCGAACTTCATCATCTTGACCTGCCCGGGCAGCTTCTAAAAGTTTCTTTCCCAAATCTACTAGTGACATCTAATTAAAGAAATAAAAACACATAAACAGAAAAATAGTTAATACCTAATATGTTATTAACACTGTTTTTAAATATACAAATGCTGCTGTCATTTTTTAAGAAAATTACGGTTTCATATTTTGAGCAATTAAAGAACGGTTGGCATTTTATCTGTACCCTTGATTTCAGAATTACTTTTCAGTCAGGCAAAATTAACATTGGGTAACATTGGGACGAAGATTTTGATGTTACAAGGTTGTATTCACAGCAACTACAACATTAACCACACTAAAGTTAACCTGAACTGGATGAAGGGTTTTGGAAGCTCTCACCTGACACTGCAACCACTTGCAGGTTCATCCAGCTTTCAGATGGCACTAAGTCACCGCTGTCATGTTCCCTGTCACATGTCCAAAGGCACTACATTCATTTATCCAAAATGAATTCAAGATGTATCACAATGTAGACATGTTTACATGATTACAAAACATGGGGCCTGTTTTGCCATCTCTCACTTTCTTCTGTCTATACTGAAATATCATTTCTGTACTCCAGCTACAAAATTAGGCCATGCAGGCATACATTAGTTTTCTATTTGCATCGGATTCACCAACTGCATCAAACATTAACATCAGCATCAACTGCCTCAACTACTAACAAACCACAAAGCTTGCAGACTGGGACAGTACCACGATACTACCTAAGAAAATTTCACATCATCTCTGGGCAATTTCTCTTTTTAAAATTGTATACAACATCAAGTTAACACTCCTGTACAACACACAGCACATAAATCAGCCCTAAACAAGCTGCACCTACATATGTTCCTGTTGCATGAAAGATTCCCCAGTATAAGTATCTTTTTGAATACACTCTTTCATAGCTATTCAGTAATTAGAAAATTTAGGAATAAAAGATAGTTTATGCCAAAACAGACRATAAAGTTTTTAGTCCTGAATCCACATTTTCAACTATTGGGATGCTAGCAGCATCCATTACTTTCCAGTCGCACAAGCGAGGGAGTTCAGTCTGTATTACTAACAACTGCAAGGGTATCCAACCTGCTTCCTATGCAAAGTTAGGCTAAGTCAGGTCAAAAAGACATCCTGTTAGGATTACTTTTAACCTTTCTTTTTTTTAAAAAAAAAAATGTATTTTTACTTCAAAAACAAACGTRGTTAGAAAGCTCCCTGTACTCTGCTCTGGCTCGGCCGGCAGAGCTGGCGTGGCAGGCTGCTCAATAAGCTGACAGCTATTGATTTTGGAAGAGACTAGAAAGCGGGAAAGGGGAAAGGTGCAAATGCAGAACTCCAGCATGGTTCAGTAGAGCTGCAAAGGGGAGCRGGCACCTCTCTGTCCACAGAGCACTCTGTCAGCATCCGCTTCACCTCCATCAATGGAATTTTCCCTTTACGTCCATCCTTCTAGGTCRTATTTGTCACAGCCAGAAAAGGGGAGAGAAACAGGAGGGTGGCAGGCAACTGACACTTGGGAAAGGAAAGGGGAGGGGAAAAAGAAAAAAAAGGAACATACATAGGCAGAGGCAGGTGCATTTGTCATCTCTTGCGTGAAAATAAAGATCAGGAAAAACAGGGGAAAATAAATAATCAAGAGGTGCATAGCCCCAAGCGCACGCACACGCACACACCTTTTTTCCAGTAGTCTAATGCTACCTGAAGGGTCTTAGAAGCAAAAGGAAATCTAGAATTAAGATTAAAAAAAAAGAATTTCCTTGTATTTGTTTTATTTTTAAACACCAACAGAGAAGAGGAAACAGTAAAGTTTCCTTTACAAATCACTGGATCAAAAAAAGAAAAAAAAGCCAAGTAAYCGAGGCTGGAAGGGACCTCCTGAGGTTGTACAGCTCAGCCCCTTGGCTGTGGATGTRGAGCCGCTCCAACAAGCCGAAGCTGCGCAAGGCCTCAGCTCTTTGCACGCTTCTACCAATGGATATTTCATCTCTCTTCAGCCCTTGTTCCTCTTCACCTGAGGAACTGCCTTCTGCAGTCTTGGTCTTTCTCCATTAACCAAGATGACAACCTCAACAATAAGCTAATACTTGATGTCTGTTAGACAACAAAACAGGAGAAATAAATTAGAGGGTTTATTGACTAAACCTATTTCTCTCTCCCATTTACCATGTCTATAATAGCAAACAACAGGCTAAATTGTTATCAAAACTCTATACAGCAAAAGCAAGTAACAAAAATTCAATTATGGTGGCCAGGAGAACAAGTCTGCTCCCAGGAGATGTTTAGGACTAACTTCAGCCTGCAATTGTTACAGATCCAGAATCTCCCTGAATCACCAGAGTTGGCCACCCATTAAAGTGACACTATTTCATCTTGCATCTTGGCGCAAAGCTAAATCATATCCTGGCACTATATTCCATAAGAAATGTTCCAGTCTAGGAAAAAGAGGGATGTATAAGATCACATGATGCTACCACGTATYATTGACATTAGCTAACACACTGTTTGGTCTCAAATGGGCTTCTACATGTGTGTACGTGTATATGCTTTTTATAGACAGACAAAACATCAAACGAGTTTACATATTTTTCATGGTGTAGAACTGTAATTTTGATTAAGAGATTTATGTTAGAAAAAAACAAGTTTTGGTTCTTATACAGTGCTTGGAGCCATCTAGTGGTCAAGAGTTGAAAGAATRGCAAAATTACACTGTTCAATTTAAAAATACGACTCCATTATATGTCAATGCTACACCACAGCAGTAACTAAGAGGGTTTTTCTATAAAATACTCTGGCACATTTAGCTCCTTTCAGCTGACACCTGGTAGCATCCAAGGACTTTGCCAAGCCTAGGCAACCCAAAACTGACTCTTAGTCAGGGACTATTCCAAGGACCAGCATCATAAGGTCAGGAAATCCTTGAGTAACAACATGCTCCACATTCCCCATGCCCCTCGTACTCTTCCACCACTAGTATCGGGACCTAACAAGAAAGCTTTTGCAGAGGTTCTCAGGTTTTGCATTTTCCTTTCTGACAGAACAATTCTGCTGCTGCCCCCTTGGGATCCTTYTGCAACACTGCAGTAGTACAGTGGTACTATCAAAAGCAAGGATCTACGCATAGTACAAAAAAAATACACTGAAAATTGATTTGAGACTTCCACTTYGAGGCAGAAATGTAAGTTAAGCACCCCTGCTACTCCCTGTAGTGCTACAAATCAGCTCTTTYGAGGTGCGCAAAATGGGATTTTTCAAAAACTGCCCTTTCCATCAAGCTTGCGGAGCRTCTCCCACTGCCAGGCTACCCAAGAGCCTTCCTTCAGACACAACATYGGTGGCTCCAAAATAAAGTCTTGGGACTATTACCATTACTCGAKCGCAACCTGAGCACGTTTCCAGACTTCGGAGAGCCCTGCACAGCTGTGTGAGCAGAGCTTGGTCTGCACAAGGTGAATGGGAGAGATCCCTGCTGGGCTTCACTTTGTTGCATTAATCTCCTCCTGAACTTTAGGTTTTATCATTTCCATGCATTCTGCATAACACCATTATCTGGTAATTAAAATATTCATCTATTTGTTACTGTTATTGTACTTCTGTTGAGTAGGAAATGAGGCTTATTTTGCAATCATCTTAGATGTAAGTTCCTGAACACCCTCTAGCATCTCTAAGCACCCTGCTGTCACCAACAAGGTATCAGAGCGCTCGGCCAGGCTTTAGGCAGAAGAGAATGCAACTGGGGCTTGACGGAGAGAGAGGGGAACTGAAAAACAAGTGACTTGGGAAGCCTGGGGCCCCACATAGCCCAGAGAGAGCAGAGCCCGAAGGTAAAAAAAAAAAAAAAAAAAAAAAAAAAAAAAAAGCTTTAATTTGGCTTAAATTCTGCAGCACCTCTCAGATTGGTGTCCTGCCAAGAGCACACTGGGCCAGGCCTCCACTCCCCTTCTAGCACTGCAGCAGCCAACACCAGATAATGAAAAGGAGCAGGCACAGACCAGCTGGGTGCTGCAGACTGCGCAGCTGTGCAGCACCTCCCGTGCACACYCCGAGCTTTCTGCAGAGCATGGACTGCACCTACAGATAGCCCCGCTACGGCAGGGACCTGCAGCCAGTTCTAACAACAGGCCAAGTTTCAGAGAACTGGTAATGAAACAGGTTCTCCTCCTGATGTGACAAGTGGCAGAACTGCACTTTGCAGACTCTCATGCTTATGTCCACATAAAGGGGAAGTGGGAACTGCCTTTTCCAAAGGTCCTTTACTTGACATTTTTTTTGTATGTGGCAACCTGCAGTCCTGAGGAGGACTGAACTTCGGAAATGCTGTCACCTGACCGATTTCAATATTACGCAGTACTGCTACTTAGAACAGCAATTTCTACATCAGATTTTATATGCCTATTCTTACATAGTTTAAAAAAACCACAAATATTATAAACTCTCTACATCTTTTAGCCTAAGCACTCAGTTTTGAGCATTATCAGAATTGAAACAACAGTGTCAACTTGCTTTAGTGTTTTTACATGCTGATATAGCAATGCAATATTCAGAACAGTTCCTCCTCAAAAMCAATTTCATTTCACTAACAATTTGGTAATCTTTCAAGGAACTGAAAGATCTGCTATAAACATAAGATGTACTAGGATATGGAAATAAGGTTAACAAGTATACATATACAATATCCTCTAACAGCATAGTTATAATGACTCACATGGGATAAAMTAAGTAAATTGCTTTTGTATGGCTTCCTTATGGGATCATATCCACCTAAATGCATTTAAACAATGATTCCACGTTTTAAATGGAATCTTTATGTAAATTGCACACGCATATAGTATGGATGCACATAGTATAGACAACATGTTATGATAATAGAAATTATATTAGTGGGTGTATAAACAACAACCTCTTAATTACAGGACTTTCAGCTTTTCTCTACAACTGTGCAGTCTTTGTAACTAAATTTCTTCTAGTTCGTTGAAACGAAAACATCACCTTCATGTTAGAAAATTCATTAAAGATAAAAAAGCAAAAAGAAAACCYTAACTTAAGAAAGCAGGTCAAAAAAGTAAATGCATTGATGGACAGCTTGGTCATTAAGGTATTTAAGCACATATTTACATAGCTTCATCCTCCAGTTAATACATGAATTGAAATTAGTATCAACCATCAATGAAACATCATTAAGTAAGGGAGAAAAGCCTTGTCCTTAGCAAGGAAAGTGCAGCGTGACCCTTAAAACTGTTCTGGTGAAGACGACCATTATGCAACCAAGGGGGGCCGCTACACCCGGACAAGGTCTGTCGCTGGTGGCTGGCACCCGAGGGAGCTACGAAGCCTTCACGGTCACGCCTGGCACCAATTTACAGCACAGCAGACACAGGGTTGACAGGGAGAATCTAACGGCATTTTACAGAGCCTCTGAGCTGTACTACAGCCTTGCGATGTGTCAGACATGCATTTGTTAACTGAAATTACTCAATATTCCCGGAGGGAAAAAAAAAGTCTTTCATTCAAACAACTGGTTTTTAATGAGGAACCTCGACAGTTTCTTTCTTGCATAAAGGCCAAAGAGCCAGCAAAGGGGCCGTTTTCAGAAATCAGTGCAGCTGTATGGCCAGAAGAACCGCAAGGCGCGCTGACATCGCCGAGGAACACCCGGGGACTTTTAAGGACGGTAATGGACCATCCAAGATGTGCATGAGGAAGAGGAGCTAACAGCTTGGGCCACCTCCTGCCCACGGGCACCTGCCACGGGCGCTTGACGTGCCCAGCAGGCAATTTCGGGATGCCTGACAAGTGCTCCCGCGTGCACTCACAGCGAGGGCACCCTGCTTTTACCTCAGCAATACCCAAGACCGGCTACCTAAGGAAACGGCCCCAAGCCGGGCCGCTCCAGGCGCGGGCGACCACCCGCCGGCCGGCTCGGAGGGGCCGCGCTCGCCGCGGTGCCCAGCCCCGCCGGGCGC